GGGGTCTCAGCGACCATGAGAACCAGCATCCACTGCAAAAGAAGGTGCCGGCTTGTGGTGGGGAGGTTGAGCGCAGAAGGCTCTGCCACAATCTGGCTGCTAACGAGGGCTGGAATATACCAAGTTGGGGAAAATAGCTTCTCAGACTATATAGGGAGGGAAGAAGGTCAGACGGAACGTGCAGATTAGGCTGACGGTCTGCGTAAAGGTTGTAGTACTTGAAGAGGAAATGGGAATCTGGACTGTACCATGTACCCTGTTGAGAAAATTTCCGGGGGCAGAACCACAGAGTGGCAGTAAGGAAAACAGAGGGATTGTACCACGTTGATTTTGAGAAAGGGGATAGCCAAGGCAAGACTATAGCCATAAGTAGGGTCATACCATTTGTAAACAGGTGGCTTGGGCCGTACCATCTTGGAAAGTGACAGTAGGCATAAGCCAGTATGTAATTGTACCGCAAGGAAAACAGGGTGTCACGTCTTATACTAAGCACAAATAGGGGTTACACAGGGATACCACTGGGAATAAGTGCAGACTGTATCAAGACCTGGAGGACAGTACACATTAAGCATACCATGCAGGCGGTAGTTGGGGCCTCGACAGCGCCTCTCGGGGTGCCGGGGGTCCCTGTTGCCCCTCAGGGCTCTATAGGCCAAGGGCTGCAGGGGCCGGCCATTACCACTGAGGCTCTGGAAGATCTGGGAGGGGGGATTCTGGCTCAGGAGTCTCAGGGAGTGCATCTGCCTCAAGAGAAAAGGGTGAGTGGAAAGTGGGGTTGGTACCCAGGGAATGCGGTACTCAGGATAGGGGCAACATGCACACATGAAGGTCACCTGGAGGGAGGTAATATTGAGAGCCCTGTCGATGAGGATCCAGGTGACAGTCTCAGAGCAGGGAGGGGTGCTGAGAGAGCCCTGATAGGTGATGAAGCCGAAGGACTCTGGGAACAGGAGCTCCAGGCTTAGGTCTTGAAGAAAGTAGGCATCATCTGTGAGGATATCAAGCCAGTGTGAAAGGGTGTCCCCTGGGAACCCACTCGTGTACAACCAATACATGAGAAGCTGATTATTTTTGTTGCAGTATGGAGATTGAACCTAGAGCTTCAGGAATGGCAGGCAGGTACCACTGAGCCAAGCCCTCAGCCCATGAGTTCTATCACAAAAATACATCTCCAGCCACTCTTTTCACCTTTGTCTTGACACTGGATCTCGCTAAGTAGCCCAGACTGGCCTTGTCACCCTCCTTTCTCTGCTTCTGTTGTAGCTGGGATTCCACCCCAAGCTTGGGGACTTACTCTTGTAGGAGATTCTGGTGATGGTGTCCCGGTTGAGGAGGCGACTGAGGAATGAGTTGGAGCTGCCAGCCACCTATGCAGGGGGCATGAGGCGAGGGGCGGGGGGCAGCCCGGGAAAGGCCCCACCCCCCCAGCCCAGGGAGCCTTGCCTCCAAGCCTCCCTGGTCCCCCACACCCTGGAAGCCAGTTGCCCATCTTGCCTCCCTCACATTGACAAAGAGGCTGAGGATGGCCAGGCCATTGGGGCCCCTCGAGGCAGCACTGAGATTCCCATAGAGTTCTTGGTTGAAGTGAATCAGCTGCACCTGGGGGAGTGAGGGTGCACAGAAAAGGGGCCCTTAGCAGAAGGGGAAGACAGAACGTTTTCAGCTCTCAGGTCTTTGGGGTCCACAATTGCATTAGGGATCGGTACTTAGGGTGGGGGGAGGTAGCCCCAGGTAAGCTAAAACAACAGGGTGACCTAGTGTGGAGGGTCATAGGTTAGAGGTCACCACCTCAGCAGAGAAGCCCTGGTGGTTGATCTGGTGTTCAGAGCCAGTCCCATCTCGAGCTCCAAACAGCAACCGCAGTTCACTGAGTCGGTGGCTATAAAGAAGAGGACCCCCAGACACGTTGACAACAGGGTGGGATGCAGGCAGGAAGGACACATGGCGGCCAGTGTTGTACAAGGTTCCCCGGAGCTGCAGGAGATGTAGAAGTTATTGGGGACAAAGAGATGGCCCCTGCCCATCCTCCACCTGTCCATTTCCCAAGTCCCAACAATTATTTAATAATAGAGACTACACATAAGCTATTCCCCAGGTCCAGACCATGTTTTCTGCAGATAGTCAACATTGATGAATTAATTCATTAACAAGTACCAGACTAGGAGGACTGTTTCAGGCTTGTAATCCTAGCCCTGAGGAAGCTGAGGCAGGAGGATTGCCATGAGTTAAAGTCCAGAAAGGGTTATAGAGTGAATCTTTTGTTTGTTTGGTTGGTTAGTTGATTTGGTTTGGTTGGTTTTTATTTTAGTTTTGGGGTTTTGTTTGTTTGATTTCGAGACATAATTTCTCTATATAACAACTCTGGCTGTCTTAGAACTTACTCTGTAGACCAGCCTGGCCTCAAACTCACAGAGATCCACCTGCCTCCGCCTCCTGTGTAGCTGGGATGTGTGCTCCACAAGGGGTGGCTTTAGTTTGAATAATGGATTTCAGGATACAGAGCTGAAGGCCAGGCAAGAGGACTGGGCAAGGGTGAGCAATGGAGAGAGGGACAGGAAGTGAAAAGGAGAGTAAAGATATTCTCTGCGAGCCTAGAGGGAAAGCAGACCTGAGGGACTGGGGGATGCACTAGAAGATGACTCTGAGGCTTTTGGCTCATGGTGCCTGCTCTTGTAAAGAAATGACACTTCAGAGAGTGTCCCTAGTATAGACATTGAGACCATACTACTTGCTTTGATGACTGTGTGACCACAGGCAAGTAACTTTATCTCTCTGTGCCTCACTTTCAGTCCATAAAATAAGGATACTATAAAGTATCACCTATTGTAGGTTATTGCGAAGATCACTGGGTTTGTTAAGCTTTTTCAAATGCTTGGCATGGGTTACATTCTGTTTTCACTAATGGGGCCAGCCTGGGGAGTTGAGGAAACCAGTGTGGAGGGGAAGAACGGGTGATCTTCAGAGCGAAAGGAGCATTTTCTCCACCCAGCTGGTGCTTTTGTTCCCCACAGCTCACCACCCACTTCAGCACAGGTTCCCCCTCTCCTACTCACTCCTTTGCAAGGCTCCTTACCTTTTCTCCCCCGGTGCTGAGTCTGAGCGGGGGCAGAAAAGGGTCGTAAAGAACTCGCTTCAGCTCCACATCCACCGGGCTCTGCCGCTTTCCCACAGCGCACAGACTCCAAGCTGCGTTCACCAGGCCCCAGAAGGGAGGCCCTGTGGGAACACAAATAGGCTGGACCAGGCAGGACCTGCTGTGTTGGACTGGGATAGTGATAACTCGTCTGAAGGAAGAGGGTAGAAATCTGAAGCTAAGAGAGAGGCACATAAGAGGCAGAATCCTAATTCCTAGAAGAATTTTAGAATCCTTTCCTAAAAGCTCCAACCCTCCCTGTATTGTTGTTCCCATCTTAAGTCTATGTAAAAACAGAACTACAACTCCCAATAGGCCTCAGATGTGAAACCAACTAATCCATCTCCTGTCTGTCCCATAGCCCCATGGGAGTTGTAGTTCTTTTTAGTCTCCCAGGTCCCACAGTTGGATTAAGAGTATTAGGGGAGAAGAAAGAGTTGCAGAACAGCCTTCGAAGGCCAGGGTGAGGGGGCGGGGCAGGGACTTGAGCTACCGAGTCTGTGCCTTTCAGCAGGAATAGGACCTGTCTCTGGCTGGAAACGCATACATCTCTCCACCCCCACTTTTCTTTCCTTGCACTCACTCCCACTCACTACTTGAAATGCGCATGTATAATGTCCCATGGTGAGCCTCTGAGGTTCAGAGACTGGGTCCTACTCTTGGGGATAGAAACCAGGGGCTGGGAGCATTGGTCCTGTGGAAGATAAGAGGACCGAGGACCCAGAGTCTGTAGTCTGGGGAAAACGGAGCCTAAGAACAAGGGGACGGGCTCTGGGTCTCCACCCTGTTTGCACCTGGCACGAAGTTTCCCTGGAGATTCTCCTTGTAGCTCCACCAATCAGAGGGATCAGGTGCAGGTCCGAGGTGAGCTAGGAAGAGAGAGCCTGCATCCCTTTCCTAGGCACCCCACCCCACTCCTCCCTCGGGGCTGCTGCCCGGACCCCCTAGCTCTTCCCTCCCCTCCTCCTGGGACTTCCAGCCTGGCTGTTCCCAGCAAGGGAGCCCTAGCTCCCGGGATGCAGGGGCTGGGACCACGCACCCCAGTGCCCGTTTGAAGCGCACTCCT